AATATCATATTGATATTTCTGTTTTTGCCGCTGCAATTATCTGTCCACACTGTCAACTTCTCCGTAGATCTTTCAGGATTTTTTAGTTCTTCCATCGCCCAAACGAATAAACATGAAGCTATTTCATTACCTCCCCGATCAGCTGTTGTCTCATCCCACATCATACACCAAGTTCTGTCAACGGTCGTGTCATAAATAGTACTATTTATTGTCCAGAGCTTTCTTGAGTAGAAACTTTGTGAATTCTTCAAATCAGGCGTTGGAAGACATTTTTGGAGAGCAGACATAATCACTCTGGAACCTTGAGTAGCACGGGCTTCCAGTTTATCTTCCCTCTTTAACTTATACCTTTGTGATTCATCCTTAAGGTAGTTTTCTTTTTGCAGAGTGAGTCCAATAAGATTTTCATCATTCTTTTCATATTTGAGTTCACAGTCAAGTTTATCGCAAACATCACAAGTGTCATTGTCAGGTAAGTGGAAAGACAAGTTGAAATCTTCATTGAATACTTTGGGATAAACCCACATCTTTTCTGGCATGAGATTTTCTTGTTTGCACTCATCTACATACAATGAGTACATCCTGGAAATGTTCAGATGATTCCCCAAATACTTACGCTTGGATCTTTCCCTGCTATAGTGGCTTTCGTAAACTGGAAACTTCGAAATATGACTTCTGATCCGTTCTAACCTTTCACTCGACAATTTATTTGCGGAGATATGTTTTCCTCTAAGGTCTGGTGTTACTAAACCAACGTCACTGCTTTTTTTCAAAGCAACTCTCATAAATGTTTCCGAAATGGAAAGTGTGTTTAGAAAATAAGTTTTGCAAACGACTTCTTCTTTACAATTCAAATTAAAAATGAATGGGTGACTCTTGGTTTTGCCTGTTCTTGTGCCTTCTCCTTCCCGTTNAAAAAAATCAGATCTTTAACGGATATTTGAAAATTTTACACAATGGTTCGAAGTTATAATGTTCTATAATGTTCACAATGAAAACCATGAAATATATTTTTTCTTGACATGATGTTGAAGTCGGCCGACAACAAATTGAAAACATCAAAACAGGCCATTTTTTTTTATCATGTGTATGTACTCACGGAGACCTAAACATACAATGGCGGATAGTGGAACTAATTGCTACAAAAAAAAGTATTCTGGAAACGTGATCATGATGCTCTCCATCATTTTCAAAATGAAAAATAGACGTCTCTTTAACCTATGCAGAAAAAAATATTCGCAGGAGTGTCTCTTATTTCTATTTTTCTTTGGAATTGATGTAATTTATCAACAGGTGATTTTGAGGTTTGAACAAGACAAATATAAAAAGTGTTTTTCCTAATATGCGTACGAATATTCCATTTCCTCGAGATTCTAAAAACTGAATCAGAGCTAGGCTCTGTTGGAAGTGAAAAAAGCACCGAAAAAATTCATTAATAATTTAACAAATCGTTTCATCATAACTCCGGCTTATAAATTTTGAAGTTGGTCCGCTCATAGTTTTGTGTAGTAGCTCGTCGGTTCGCACTTATTCAATATTTACACGGCAATCCTCTGTTAGGGATCGTTCCTAGTCCTAGTAGGTAGGTCTTCTCCATAACTATTTGGATTTATTTTGAGTAACACATTGATTTTGTTTGATTCAATTTGCATGGATTCGTGTGAGACAATATTTACTGAGTTGTGGCAATGTTTCTTTTGAACCAATCAGTGACGACATTTATACAAGGAGTTGTCACTGTAATAATGAAGCATTCAGATGGAACTGAAATGCTGTAAGATCTTCCCACAATACATACTTCCGAAGTGAGGAAAGAAATGAAGATTCTTATCATACAGATGACTTCTTCATAAAGCAAGCTGTAATCGCCTCCACTTACTCAAGCTCATCCTTGAAGGACAGTTGTGTCCAGCAATGTTATTCGTGGTTCAGCCTAGCATCACTGATATATAGAAACAGCATTGTCAGTAGATGAATAAGGCCGGCACGAGAATAAAATCCCATATATCTTCTTATGGCGCCAAATTTCTTGCAATTTTCATGACATTCGATCGGAACCTCGTGGAACACCCAACTCGAGGTAGGTGTGTTTCGCAGTGGAAGTGGGAGAGAGAAACGTGTGACGTAATCGATGCAGGATAGAATGAGTATCAAAGAAATTCAAAGAGATTACCCCCCTCCCCCCCTTGGGTCGCCGTTTCACCCTTCAGGCTTCCTTATCACGTACAGTCACGTGGTCATCGGCAGCTAAGGGAAACTCAATTGAAAAAATTCACCGGTATGAAAATCGAACCCAGGTCGTCGGCGTGGTAGACGTTGTCCTTAGCCTCGACACCAACGTGGGATATTGCAAAAGTTTAGCGCCATAAGAAAATACATGGGATTTTGGACTGCTATCTGATGTTGGATACTGTATTACGTCCTCCTGTTTGTCTGTTAATTCACAAGACGAAACAAACATTATTTAGTAGGGTTAGGTACGGTAAGTAGTGTGCTTGCTCTTGAACAACTTACAGGGTCGTGCAGTTCTATAGAAAATTGCGCCAATGGGCACCAAGTAATTTTGTGTTGCTCCGGCTGACTAAGTCCGAAGAGAGAAACCACTAAACAATGATAGACTTATTTTAGAAAACTTATATTTACTGTAATATCAAATTCGCAAAGGCTTCCTTATACAGTGCGGTCCGTATGTATGGAATAAATTCATTTTTAGCGTTATTATGTACTATGTGAAAAAAAGAAACAGGTCGATTTTTATTCTTAAATTGACAATTCACAGTATGAAAATATTATCCCCCTCCAGCACCCCTTCTGAATTATAAGCATCCCCTCGAAAGGGGGTCGTGTGGCACCTTTTTGGAAAGGGATTTTAGTCCTCTGTTCAGCAATATAAAGTTTTTTGAGTTTGGTGCAATCATAACTGAGAAAATTGATTTTGAGGATGTAAAATTTTGATAATGTCTCTAGGTATCACAAAACTTTACGTAGAATGAAGATAATAATGCCACATCAAAGGTTCAAAATGACCAACATTAACTTCTTGATAATAACCGAGGCGATTTTGGAATTCTCGTACAACATTTCGTATGACCTCGGGGGTTATTTTGTTAATTCCTTCCGTTATCCTAACTTTTGAATCAGCAATATTGTTTGGTCTATTGAAATACACTTCAGATTTTAAATAACCCCATAAGAAGTAATCGAGAGGAGTCAAACCGGGGGATCCAGCCGGCCATTCGATCGTTCCACGTCTTCCAATCCACCTATTTGGAAAAACTCGTTTGAATAATTTCTAACTGTACGTGCAAAATGCGGTGGAGCTCCGTCTTGTTGGTAGTAAATAGTTCGATCTATCTCATTTGGATGATTAACATCAGGAAAATGTATTTGTAATGTAGACACTTAAAAGATAATCAAAAAATCTAGATAAACCTCACCATCAACAGTGCCCTTAAAAAAGTAAAAGCCAATAATTTTATCGTTAATGATACCAGCCCAAACGTTAACTTTTTTAGGATATTGAGTGTGAATCATCCAGTGAGAATTTTCTCTGCTCCAATATCTACAGTTCTGTCTGCTAACTGTTCCATTCAAATGAAACGTCGCTTCATCAGAAACACTATTTTGTTTATGAACTGCAAATCTGCGTTCATTTTGTACATCATCAATTCACAGAATTCCTGCCTTCTATCGGGATCATCTTCATTTGACTCCTGAACCAACTTAACTTTGGTATTTTTGGTATTTTTCTATATGCAAAACTCTCAAAATAGATGATTCACTTGCATCATTGTCAGCGGCAAGTTTTCGAGTTGTCTGATGCGGATTTTCCTCAATCTCATCAGTAAATTGAACATTTCCACCAGGTTTTCCAACATACTTTACATGTCCATTTTCACGAAACTTTTTTTCGATTTTGCTAACTGCAGACTGCGACACGTGTTGACCAGGGTATTTATTATTAAAATTTTCACATAAGTACCTCCTTTTGAGTTCTTGTTTTATTACCACAACCAATCATAATTAAAATGTTTATTCTTTGAGTCTCGGGCAAATAATTAAATTTAATACGCCCACAAATATTATACTGACGTCTTTCAGTAACTTCAAATACCTAAATGACAGCAGCCAACTAGATTCATATCAATTGTTTATTTGGCTTTTTGTATAATATTTTAGTATCTTCAAAGATTTCTTCCAGGATTCAATGTTAGTAAGGAGCGTGTTACAGGGATGGTCTGTTCAATAGATCAGGTTATTGCCAAGAAAGTACAACCACCCACATCATGCAAACGATCAGATTAACATACCAACATTATTAAAAGTACGTAGGACATTGATGGTATCAATATCTGACTGGCTCGAGTATGTTCATGCAACAATTTTTTTTACATATTTAATAATCTATAGCAGCTTCCCCCACCGATGATAAGGTATATATTATATAACATTGTTTTCATCTTATCATCTAAGCTTCACAACCTAATATGTCTCAATGACGCTCGAGTAAACCCCCATTTTGAACCCCCGTTCTGTCAGGAATGAAGGAGTTGAAGTTGCAGTTTTAGGACATGTACAAATGGTTAATCGACAATATATGAGACAAGTACCTAGAGTCTGGTGTATCAGCTACTATAGTTTTTCGGATTTTGAAAATCTACAAATTCCATCCTTTGAAAATAAGGCTAGTTCAGGAATTAAACAAAGATGATCCTGATCGTTGACTTCAGTTTTGTGAGGTGTTCAGCGAGAAAGTGACCAATAACCCAAACCTATTATACAATACATGTACAGGGGGGTGGTGATTTTCATATCAGAATTTGTCCCCCTAGAAATAAAAATTGACGTATTCCTTGAAATTCTCGATTACACGTCCGTTTCTGTCTCACAGGGGGGGGTCAAGCTTTCGTTGGAACGCCCTGTATAAGTTCAAAATACACATCTCACTCACTGATGAACGATTATTCTCATTTATCTCAAACTGAGAATTTTTTCTCCAGGGCGATTTATTCTCCGGCCTCAACGATGGGTTGATAAGTCGGGCGGAAGCCTTGGCTGCCGTTGACATCAAACACCAAGGAACCGGTGGACCAGGAGGACTTCCTCAGCTCAAACATGACATGATGTATCATCACAGCATGGGTGCGCCACCACCTGTTAGTCGACCACACCACCAGGTAAGTTTTTACAAATTTAATATTCGCGTCTTCGCCATTGGTGGGAATTCCAATATTTATTATGCAGTAAATTCCATACCTGTAATTTTGAACCAATCAAAATACGTTATTGTGACAAATCACCATGGCAAAGGAAGTATTTTAGTGGACTTTTTTTTCTCGTGGGATACCCAACAGCGAATTATATTGGAAATTTTTTGACGTTCACAATGACAGACCATTTTTGACAGATTGGTTTTTATTTGTTCACATGATATTTAGTTTTGATAAATTTTAATTACAAAGCTAAGATGTTTTCTATATTCTTCGGACACCTCCTCTCTTCTTAATGGCAAAAATGCTGGACTGGATATTTAGACACTAATTTATTAATCTTTTTCCTATTCAGTACTTTCAATTTTGCGTAGTTTAGATGCAAATATTCGTGGACAATTCGGAACAAATTTCCTTTTTTCAAACGCAAAAAAAAAAATTTCTACCACTTGTGTTACTCGAAACTTATGTGAAATTGAAGAATATACTATTTTCTATCTTGAAATGGTATTTCCAGGCAGTAACAATGAGTAGAAATTAAAATTTTCAAGACCTGAATAATTGCTGCCAAAGCTATGACACGCTGAGACACCTCTAAAATTATAATTGTCTACCAATTGTAGAATATTTTATCAGTAAGCTCAAGTAATTATAAATTGGAAGAAAATTATNCATCTTTAAGGTAGTTTTCTTTTTGCAGAGTGAGTCCAATAAGATTTTCATCATTCTTTTCATATTTGAGTTCACAGTCAAGTTTATCGCAAACATCACAAGAGTCATTGTCTGGTAAGTGGAAAGACAAGTTGAAATCTTCATTGAATACTTTGGAATAAACCCACATCTTTTCTGGCATAAGATGTTCTTGTTTGCACTCATCTACATACAATGAGTACATCCTGGAAATGTTCAGATGATTCCCCAAATACTTACGCTTGGATTTTTCCCTGCTATAGTGGCTTTCGTAAACTGGAAACTTCGAAATATGACTTCTGATCCGTTCTAACCTTTCACTCGACAATTTATTTGCGGAGATATGTTGTCCTCTATGGTCTGGTGTTACTAAACCAACGTCACTGCTTCTTTTCAAAGCAACTCTCATAAATGTTTTCGAAATGGAAAGTGTGTTTAGAAAATAAGTTTTGCAAACGACTTCTTCTTTACAATTCAAATTAAAAATGAATGAGTGGCTCTTGGTTTTGCCTGTTCTTGTGCCTTCTCTTTTCCGTTGTCTAACAACAGGCTTAGTTCTTATACAAGAGATCACAAACTGACGTTTTGAGTTCCAGCTCCTCTCTGCATTTCAATAGTCAAAATGTATTTTCAACCTTTGGTCTCCTGTAATCCTTTCGTTGCTCATAATTTAATTATGAGCATATTATATGAATTCTTCAGCAATAATATAATGTCTACAAAGACTAAGATACATCGGATAATGATCTATTTGAATCCAATTGGTCATTCAGTAATTTTTGAGTTTATTTATTTCCATTGCTTCTAAATAATTTTGCTTCAAAGCATTATTGTCTATGTGTAAAATTTCAAAATCTCCGTTAAAGCTATGATTTTCTTCTAAACGATGATTTGAATATGTTGAACATGTTTTCTCATTTGCATAGCCCATATGATGTTGCTAGATGCGATTTCCGAATTTTCCGTCAGTTTGACCAATATATTCCTCAGGACAAGTTCCACAATTTGATTTATGTACTTCTGAATTATCGAATTTGAATATTTTGTCTTTATTATTTTCAACTAACTTTCCCAACGTATAACCTGTTCTATACAGGGTGTCCCTGGACTTCCTCTTTTCCTCTCGGGAATGTATAGATGGGGTCAAAATATCACCAGTACTTCATATAAC